AAACGTCCTCAAAACGGAAACAAAGTCCAGCGGATTGTTTTTTTTTTCACTTTTTTGGAAGACTGCTCCTCGATTTCTAAGTGGGAGAACTTGCCAAATAGCATAGTGTTCGAATACTTATTATTACACTGCAAAAACAATCTAGGAATGATCCAAAATGTCTTAAATTAAGTGTATTTACCGTTCATTTGAGTGGGTAAATGAGATGATCTGCCAATGGAAGGAGTATTTTTACTTTAAAAATTAGATATCTAGATAAAAAACACTTGAAATAAGAAAATGCAAGCATGTATTCTTATTTTAAATGTAAATCGTCTTGTTTCATTGGCAAAATGTTTCTTTTACCTTCTAAATTCAAGAACAACTGCACTTTTTTTAAGAAAAAAATGACTTATCTAGATTTAGATTTTTTGCAGTGTAATACTTATTTTCCTAGTAAATGTGACTAAATTAAATGTAAATACAAGAAAAAGTCCTAAGATGGGCATATATTAAACCTTATGAATGTGTGTGACAGGCCTTACAGTAATAGTTCATCTTGAGGCAGCGTGCGTCCTTCTTTTCGTGGTTGTCGTTAAACCAGTTCTCGTAGTGGAACTTGGAGCCATCAGACCACATCCACAAATTAAGCTGTTGAAACAAGAAGTACTTCAATTAATAAAAATCTTTGGGAAACCAAACTATTCCGCATATCTGAGCTCAAAGCAGTTTCACTTATTTCAAACACCTCTTTTAAAAAAGGATAAGTGGATCTAATTAAATTACCAAACAATCGACACCATCAGGCTACAAACTGCATCATAAAAAAAGAGTCACAGTAGAAATGCGATATTTTTTAAGTTTATGTTTTAAAGGTTTTCCTGCCTGTATGGCATCGCTGCCTCCGATCCAGGTTTGTGGGAAGCTGTGTGTGTTTCCTCTGGTCAAAGATTGGATGAAGTGATTCTCCTCGTCACTGTGAACTGACGCCAGGTTGGCTCCTTCAAACTGACAGTAAAACTGAAGAAAGAAAGCCATGCAGTTTTTTTAGACATCCTGTTTTTTTTTTTTTTTTTGCTTTTATTGTAACAACAAAAGCAAACTCTCAAGTTGATGTTTTATTTTTGCTTTATCAGCCCCCACCTCAGCCTCGGTCCATGTCTTTGGGGTGTCGATGAAGAGAAAACACCGATAGCCGAAGCTGCTCCAGCCATACGGGCAGTAGATGTACTGAGCTGCAACACATTTCAACTTTTACCACATAAAGTAGCTCTAAATCTTTTAGTGTCAAGTTTTGGTTTGGTTTTATTTTTTTGTAGTAATATTTTTTTTTACATTTAAGATCCATTCAGTTGTTTTGTGATTCGATTCTGGTTAAATTTACTGAGTTACATTTACACGAGTACCTTGTTTACTTGCATTTACATGCTTTACTTGAGTATTTATATGAAGAGCTGCATCTCTTACTTGAGTAAATTTTTTGGCTATTCTATCTACCATTAGTAACTTCACTAAATGAAGAATAAGCACATTTTAACCTAAAAAGTTAGTTTTTTGTTTTGTACACAAGCTTGTTGTCTTGATCTATCGTCTATGTGCTCATAGTCTATGTATGGAGGCCATGGTAATACATAATACATTTTAATTCATACTAACATGCAGTATACTACATAATGTGAGTATACGTTTCATGAGTTTAATTTTGCACTAGGAAGATTGTTTCTTCTGCCTAAGTTATGGTATTAAATATGGATTTGTATAAATTTGTATATTTTATCACTTCAACTCACAATAAATAGATCATTTTTATCTGTCTGATTTTATAAATTCATAAAATAAATCTGATGCAATGGTAAGTTTCTCAGTATATGGGCCATTGAAAAAAACAACAACTGATTTTTTAATTTTTATTTCAGTATAATGTGGGGAAAAAAAACCTTTTCTGACTTTAATCTCAGAATTCCGACCATGATGGAAGAAATCGTAATACGGAAGAGGATTAGGGCCACTGAAAAGAAAACAAAGAAAATGATTTTTTTAATTTGATTTCAGTCTAATATGGGAAAAAATAATTCTGCGAAAAAAGTCAGAATTCTGACTTTTTACCATATTATACTGAAATATAATTTTAGAGTTTTTTTTTTTTTTAGTAAACTTTATTTTCAGTGGCCCTAATCCTCTTCTGTATTATTAGCCTTCGTACCAAAATGCATTTTTATTCTTAAGTAATTTTTTAGGAGGCTGCTTTTTACTTTTACATAAGTAAGAATATGTTAAAGGACATGAACACAAATATAAGATTTATTCGAATCAAGAGCCAAATAAAAATCTAATAATGTGTTTAGACAGAAGTTCTTACCACAGCTAACAGGCCTGACCCCAGGCGGGGTCTTTGTGTTTGGGATCTCCTCTCCGGTGAGCACATTGACACACCAGCAGTATCCGGTGGAGCCAGAGCACTGCTGAGGGAGGAAGTTCCCGTCAGCGTCGCACCGTGGGCAGAACGCTCCGGCTAAAACGATGCAGTGAAGGCGCTTGTAGTCGCAGAGACCCCCTTTGCTCCCAGTGATTGTCGAGTTTATTGGTGCAGCTTGGCTCATCGTCAGAACGCCGCAAACCATGAACCAAACGCTCAACAAATTCATGGCTATGATAATAAAAGCATATGTCTGAAAAAGGAATCTGCAAAACAAAACAGTTAGAAAAGTTGTTATAATTAGTTACCTTTAAAATAACAGGAATGTTCAATAAAATATCATCAGGAGACAAAAAGCATTAAAGTTGTATATTAACTCACTTCCTTCTGGACGAGGCAAAGTCTCTATGAATCTAAGCTGCTCCTCTTACTTTTATTCTCCAGATTTCTGCTGCTTCCTCTTATTTCAGCTCCTTAAATGCTACATTAGCTCCAGGCTCCAATATCCTCTTAACAATGGATCTTTCTGGCTCCTGTTTCATTGTATTACCCACGGATGGTAGAATAGTGAAAGAGCCATTGAGGAATCATGTTGAATATGCCAGAAAGTCTGGGTTTGTACTTTCTAATATCATTTTCATGCAGTTAGTTGGTGTTAAAACACGTCTTAGTTTCCAAAAATGTCACCATTCTTTTCTTATTTTAGGTTTCAGCTTTTATCTGACTGGACTCTGCTTTGTTTCTCAGTGTTATTCTATTGTTGAAATCTAGGTTAGACTGGACTTTTTTAACAAAAAGGTGCATTATGTTAACATATAACGTAAAACCCCCATATCTTCTGGATCTAATCAACAAAAAGCCTTGTTACTCAGAAACCCAGAACCTCTGAGCACTCTCAGTAAAATACAATGATAGGTACAATAGCAGAAAATGGAAGATATTTAAACATTAACTTTCAATATAAAGCTCTAAGAAAAACTCTAACTCTGCCATTCAAATTATAAGGTAAGTTTTATTATTATATTATTTTTCAATGTAAAACTAAGTTTTCAAATATAAATGAGACACAGCGCAAGCTATTTATTCATATTAGGACTTTAGATTGACTTACATTCGTTTTAGTTACGGCATTTTTTCCTAACCCTGACAATTTTCACTATATTGCAAATCCTAACCTTAACCTAAAGTTCAGCTATAACACACTTTAAACTGACTCTTTAAGGTTAAAATTGCAGTCCACCACATTAGGACCAGCCTTTGATCCCAAAAAGGTCTGTTGGTCATCAGAGGGTTAGAAAATATACAGAAATGAATATTGGTAACATAAACACGTACATATATCCATCCGTCCATCTCAGTGGATAGGCCGGTGCCTAAATCCAGCAGCCTATGGGCGTAAGGCGGCGTACGCACTGGACAGTCCATACCAGGGCAACACAGAGCCAAGCAGAGACAGACAACCGCACACACACACACACACA